ACAGCTTCGGAAGCAGCTAAGGAGGCAGTTTGGATTCGTAAGTTCATTAGTGAACTTGATGTTGTACCCTCCATCAAGGGTCCAATAGACCTCTATTGTGATAACAATGGAGCTATTGCTCAGGCCAGGGAGCCAAGGGAACATCAGAAAGTCAAACATGTCAAGAGGCGATTTCACATGATAAGGGAATGGAAGTCCGAGGGTGAAATTAGAATTTGTAAGATTGGAACGAACGACAATGTAGCCGATCCATTGACTAAACCTTTGCCTCAAGTGAAGCACAACAAGCACGTTGAGGCAATGGGAATCAAGCATGTTGGAGATTGGCTTTGATTTCCATGTATATGTGTTTTAATTAAACTTGATGTCTTAATGTAAAACACTATGTTGAACCATTCGATTTTGGAGCAATTAAAATTTCTGCAAATTTATTATTACCCCATTTCTATTTAATTGTGGTTTAGAATTAAATAATGAGTCCATTCGATTTCTGAGAATATTCAAAACAGGGTATCAAGATCATGTCTTGGATAAAGAAACACCTGTTAAGTGAGCATTGAATATTTCAATCGAAAATTATCCCTAATCAAGGTCATTTAAATGATGGAAGATTAATGACTACTTGAGATTAGTGTGTAGTATGATTTATAGCATCGTTTCTTGTGCTACGAGGACATGATTGTCATAAATCATTTGCATAGGTATTGGTTTGGAATTGTACCAGATCGACCTATGAGAATACTTTAAGAGATTTAAAATCGTCATAAGTATATTTCTCATTATAGCTATCGGAACCTTTTTCCTCGACCATGAGTATTGTAGGTTCTCTTGTTTGAGTACTAGTCCGTTTTGATGTTGTCAAACGTCTGCCGTAAAAGGGGATTATAACGGCAACACTTGGGCGACTAGGTTCTCTTAGTAAGGAAAGCTAACAATACAAGACTGGGAATGTCCCCCTATTAACAATAGGGAACATGTCTTTGTTGTTTACAAGGCCTCTCGAAGAAAGAGACTGTGAAAATTCACGGTCGTGCTCATATGGATTTTAGAAATCATCTACTTATTGACAGTTGAACTCGGAAATTGAGAAACACTTCTGGACGTAATAAGGATGACGAAGAATCTTACCTTATAGTTCATGAAGAGACATTAAGCGACATAGGAAATGGGCTATACACTATTTGCACACTTGTCCGGAAGGACAAATGGGAGATTGAAAGGAACGGTGTCCTTCCAATAAGTGTATTATTCCGATAGAGGGTTCGAAATTATTAGAAAGCTAATTCTTCAGTGAGGTCAAGTGATCGAAATGCTTAGGTGGAGGTCGCTTTCGATCAGTAATATTAATGTATAATTAATATTACAGCTTAATCTTGACTGAACCCTTCGGGTCGCACCCCAATCAAGCAACCGATCCGAGACGATGAATCAATCTGAAGGATTAGATGAGTCATTAGAGTATTACGAACAAAGACGTCGGATATTGAGCTTAGAGCGTCAAAACCGAGCGTTATAAGTCGAGTCGAATTCAGAATTCGACAAGACATGGAATCAAGCAAGTGACAAGTACGAGCCAAGCCGTAGCATCGCATTGGCCTAGCCCTACGAGTGCTAGGCTAGGCGAGGTCCCAAACCGCATGCATGCTGGCGTGCCAAGCATTGCCCAACACTCGCACATCGCACAGCACGAGCATCGCAAGCTGCGTGCCATGCGTGTGTGTGCTGCGGCTATGCGTGCATGGTTGTGCGTGCTTGCTAGCATAGTAGCACCAGCCATCGCAGCATGCTGGGCATCGCAAGATATGTGTGCGTGTGCGTGGTTGTGCGTGCTTGCTAGCGTAGTAGCACCAAACAACAGCTGCTGGGCCTCGCACCTCGCTAACACACGCAACGCAGCAGCAGCAGCCCGCAATGCATGCGTGGCTTGTTTGCTGCGTTCATGCATTGTGCGAGCTGGCAGCCAGCCCAGCCTTGGTGCTAAGCGCCAGCTGGGTAGCCTTGGCAGCCAAGGTGGGTAGCTAGCCAGCTGTGCAAGGGAGGCCAGCTCACGGTTTGTGGAGGGGACCGGTTATAGGGGTTTGCTTGGGGAGCAAGTGTGGTATGGTCCCCCCCCCCTTCCTTCTTCCCCTAAATGGTCCTCACCTAACCTTGCTCACTATTGCCACTTGGCGCTTGTTGATTCATTTTGCATTTTAATTTGTTTTTAGATTAAAATAAATTGGGAAAAATGCAATTCTCCCACATTGAAGGGGAATGGGAAATCAAGGCTCCCTTCCCTATAAATACCCAAGTTTTGGGTTTGGGAAAAAGCACGGGGGGGTTGAACTCATTAAGGCATCTCCTTATAAGTGAGAAAACCTTTAAGTTCGTAATACTCTAGTTTTTCTTTGGTCAAGTCCCGACTAATATTCGGGATAAAGACTGCTCGGGTCGGGTTGAGGTTGCGAGCCGTCGGAGGCCTACGTACTTGCGAGGCTAGAGCTTTCAAGTAAGAGCTCGTAAGCGAGCGAAGCACGCGTCGAGGGTAAGATCATCTTTTCTCTTTCTCTCTCTTTTGTTGTTTAATTATGTGATTGCATGTTTAGTTACCTTAATTAGTGTGCGGGTCTTAGGCGGGTTTCATTCCGCATAGTGTCGGACACTACAAAACCCAACAGTGGGCTTACTCTACAATAGGAACTACTATTTTGGATGGAGGTAAAACTTTTAGGAGGGCTTTTTCGACTTTACATTTAGAATTTCTGCCTTGTGTTCATGCACTAAGATGGATGCTAACGAAGGATTATTGTTTACTCGGATTCGATAACCTTGGTTCAACTCCTTAAAAGAACTACAGGTGCGGAGATTTCCTTAAGATGGCAATACAGGAGATAAGAAGGTTGAGAGCAAATTTCCAGAGTTGCATTATTTGGAAAGTTGGGCGAGAACAAGTTGAAACTGCTCATCGTTTGGCTAATGTATCTAAGGTTAATGGTACAAGTTATAATAGTTTGTAGTCTTGTATTTTCCTCTTGTAAAAAAAAAATAATGATATGACTCAAATCTACATTGACCTGACTAATTTAGGCCTTGTCTTGTTCACCTTATCTTCTAATTTTATTAAAGTTCAAATAAGACAAGTTTAGAAAAGTCAAGTTATGATAAGGGTTAATGAGAGTTATTCAAGTTCAATTTACTCTAAAATTAGCTCTAATGTCTAATAAATTTTGATATATTCAGATAAGATAAAATAATCATTGACAATTAAAATCTGGTGAATAGATAGCGTCCTTAGAGTAGGGTGTAAATTTAGTAGTTTGATTTCAAATCGATTTATAGATAACTGTAAAAAATACTATGTGTATAAATACGATAAAAAAAACTTACTTCTCCGTGTATTAATAAGTGTTACACTTTGGCTGACACATATTTTTAGACAATTTAGTTTTAGACAATATAATTGACTTAGATAAAATAAAAAGTAAGTGGGTAGTTGGAGTATTAAAAAATTGTAAAAGAAAGATAGTATTTGAAAAGTAATGAATGTGAGAGGAAAAAAAATAATAAAAAAAAGTAGTAGCGGGTTTGGGTAGGGACTATAATAGAGAAAGATATAATATTAAAGTGTATCTTTTTGCCAAAAAAAAGTAGTGTAAAACTCATTAAAATACGAATGCATTTAATAAATGTATCACTTATTAAAACACGGAGGGGGTAATGCTACAAAACATTATGAACGAATCAAACACATAAAATTCGGCTTGTTAGGGGTTAATTTTAATACTAAAGTGGTTTTTTTTTTTTTTTTTTTTTTTTTTTTTTTTTTTTTTGGTGAGAAATTGGGCTAGCCCAAGGGTTTAATTCAAGTTTCCCAACTTCCCATCAAGTTCGTGTCAAATTATCGTACCATCCGCGACACCGGCTCTAATTGAGTAGGTCCACAGTCTTCCTACGAGTACTAAATTGGTTTTTTTTTCCCAAATTGAGCTTTATTGGGAAATTATTTACCAAATTGGTCTCGTGGAAAAAGTATTTCCCAAACTAAGCTTCTGGGGTGAAACGATGTCTCGGACAGCGTTTTACACCCAGTTTTTTTAAAAAAAAAATTTAAGAAGTAAAGCGCTGTCTCAGACAGCGTTTATGGTGTTGACCTGTTGGTATGTATTTTGGCAAAATATACTAGTATATTTTGCCAAATTATACTGAAATATGTATATGGGCTTTAAAACGCTGCCTGAGGCAGCGTTTTATGTTAAAGCATAAAACGCTGCCTGAGGCAGCGTTTTTCTGCTTGACTGCATCACCAGCAGCCAGTTGCTGTTTCTGTCCATCTGCTGCTGCCCCTACACATCATCCTCACCCAGCAGCCTCAGCCTCAGCCCCACCATCAACCACCACCCCCACCACCATCAACCACCTCCCCCACCACCACCGGCCGCCACTCTCGACCACCCCTATGCAATACAAAACACCCTAAACAACGCAAGAGCATTCCCACCACCCCCACCGTTAACCACCACCCCCACCACCATCAACCATCTCCCCCACCACTACCGGCCGCCACTCTCGACCACCCATAAACTATCATAAAACACCCTAAACAACGCAAGAGCATTCCCACCACCCCCACCATCAACCACCATCCCCACCACCATCGACCACCTCCCCCACCACCACCGGCCGCCACTCTCGACCACCCATAAACTACCATAAAACACCCTAAACAACGCAAGAGCATTCCCACCACCAGCCCCAACCTTTCCACCACCATCGACCACCACCGACAACCATCAAACACTGGAAACAACCCCAACAACATGATAACCATCGTGAAACAACACTTTAAGTGCAGGAGACCAAATATATGCTGCTTGATATATATAACGGCGATAAAAGATATAGTTTCACTAACAAAAGTCAAATTCGGACAAATAAGGGAAATAAACTTCAAGAACGTATCTCTCGTGATGGTGCTTCGCACGTGAGATTTCAAGTTTGAAGCCAAGTGACGAACACAAAACCTGTGATAGGCTCGGGGTTGAGTGAATCCAATGTTAGGATCATTCATTGCTACAATGATCCCTGCATGTCGATCAGATATAACACATAAGCCATCTCGTTGCGTAACTCTATCCCGTAGGCAGCTCATAAACCAAGACCAGCTGGAAATGTTTTCCCCCTCAACCGACGCAAATGCTAGTGGAAATACTTGGAAGTTTCCATCCACACCTGTAGCAACCAAAAGTGTTCCTTTATACTTCCCGTACAAGTGCGTCCCATCGATACAGATAACAGGCATACAATGTTTGAAACCATCGATACAAGGACCAAATGCCCAAAACACTCGTTCAAATACTTCCATGTTGCTGGTATACCTACCCTCCACTAGAGCTTTGTGTTTCCATATGACTACGGTTCCCTGGTTTGACTGTTGCAGTGCTTGCATGAACTGAGGAAGTCTGCTGTAAGAACTCTCCCAATCCCCAAAAATTTGAGTGATGGCTTTGTCCTTGGCATACCATGCTCTTTTATACGGAACTTCAAAATGGAATTGCTTGGAGATAAGTTCCTGAATGAATTCAACTTTTAGAGTCGGATCTTTCTGCACAAAGGACTTCACAAACTCAGATATTATGGACGAATCCAAGTGTGAGTGATCAGTAGATAGTACTTTGGTAACACAGTTCTCCCGGTGCGGGCCTTTGTATGTGACTATGGTGAAGCCACCCGAGTGCTCACTTGTCCTGGTACCCCTTAGAGACCATCCACATTTCTTCTTGCAACGCAGATGAAGGACACTCTCATTTGAGGTCACTATGGTGTATAATTGATTTCTCTGTATAGAATACATCTTCACCATTTCTTGAAGCGTTTTCTTACTGTCAAAGTACATCCCCTTCTCGAATTCTCCCCCTGGAACAAATGATGTATGACTCCCTGAATTGGCCTAATACTCATCAACTTCATAATTCTCATTTATCTGACTAAACCAGGTACTGCAGTTCTAACCAAGGGCTCATCAATTTCCATCTGCTCATCTTCAAGATCTATGTCATCAAGCCCATCATACTCTTCCCCATTATCGTCCTCATCATCTGTATCCGCATACACATCGTACACCGACAATTCGTTATTCACAATATTATCAAAATGACTTGGGTCTTCTTGAGACGGTGATTCTTGAACCTCATCTCGCATCGGTGACGGAGCCACGGTGTTTGATGTCGAAGGACCGGATTGGCCGAACATTGTCACACAGCCCCCCGCATATGCAGGTGATGCTATATGAGGACTAAACGGCATCTGAAATTGATCGTCATGAAGCAAGCGACTGAAAGTTCCCATCCCATATTCATTCGATGGAATGTGGTTTGAAGGGCCTTGGAAGGACGCGGTGTTGTAATCAGAGACATATGTAGGATGTTGTTCTGCCCAAGTACTTTGTTGGGTACATATAGGCACTGTTTCTACATATATCTCATTGGGAACACCCTTCATTGTAATAATGCTTCTCAAAGCTTTTAAATGTTTGTTTGTGGAGACAGGTAACACTTGAACCCCATGGCCAGTCTCACACCTCATTTTAAGGTTCAGTTCAACATTCATTGGGTTTGAGCCGATACTACTGTGAACCTCATTCATCAGATCATTCACAGTCATGTTCGGTTCAAGTGTTATAAGTTCCATATTCCCTCCACTGTACTCAACATTTGATCCATCGTACATAATTTCACCTCCCCACCGGCATAACAACACTACATTTTGTGAAGCCATATTCTACATAACAACCATAACACATTTAAGGATAATCGAATGCTAAAACAACGTAAAAAAAACCCCTAATTTAACAATGCACAACATACATAGCTTTGATAATGGAAAGTTATATCAAATTTGAAGAACCTACATGTTTAGCTCATATGACAACAACGAGACAAGCCCATTCTCACTATCAACATTTTCATCACCAATTTCATTAACTCTTCGTACTGCATACAACTGTCAACAAACTATTTTCATCACCAACTATCACATTGCAATCAAGAATTTCGTCTACATTGTTCTTCAATAATGTACTATACTATCATCAACAATTATCAACAATTTCTCACATTTTCATTACTAATTAGCAACAAATTAATACACTCTACATCACATTTTGCTACAACATACAAAAACTACCAAATATTCAATGTAAAATGACACTACGAATTTAGGGTTTACCTGGAATTAGAGAGTGAGTGAGTGAGTGAGAGAGTGAGAATAAGAGTTGTAGGGGCGGCGGCGGCGGAAGGGGCGGCGGCAGCGGAGGTGGTTTCGGTGTTTGTGAGAATGAGGGTTGCTTTAGTGAGAGAAAGAGTGTAAAATTCGGTTGTGAGAATGTGAAAAACGCCCAGAAACTGGGTTTATGCCCCGCAAGAAACGCTGTCTCAGGTAGGGCTGGCAAACCCTGACCCGACACGAAAACCCGACCCGAACCCGACCCGAAGTTACTGAGAGAGACCCGAACCCGACCTGAACCGAACCCGAATAACCCGAATTCGACCCGATTTGACCCAAATTTCATATTTCGTAATAATATTAAGTTTTACACTATTTTTAATAGTTTCTAAGTATAACCCGAAATCGACCCGAAATCTGACCCGAACCCGACCTGCTGACCCGATTGCCACCCCTAGTCTCAGGCAGCGTTTATTGTTCAGAAATAAAACGCTGCTTCAGGCTGCGTTTTATTCCTGTACATTAAACGCTGCCTGAGGCAGCGTTTCATTTAAACGTATAAACGCTGCCTGAGGCAGCGCTTTATAGTATTGGGGTATTTTTTTTTTAAATAAATTATGAAATACGAAGTTTGGCCAAAAAAAAAGTCAAACAAGGTAAAACGCTGTATGAGACAGCGTTTTACTTCTTGATTTTTTTTTTAAAAAAACTGGGTGTAAAACGCTGTCCGAGACAGTGTTTCACCCCAGAAACTTAGTTTGGGAAATACTTTTACCACGAGACCAATTTAGTAAATAATTTTCCAATACAACTCAATTTGGGAAAAAATCCTACTAATTCCTCACCCGATTTTGTTTGAACAGCCAACTACTCTTACTCAAATTTGGATTGTGTTGCCACATACACACTCCTTGACGACCCCACTACCGATCTCACTCGCTTTTTCATTGGCTGCCCCACGTAACACCACGTCTAGACTATTCTCTCTCCTCTTACATTACTTCTTACCTCTCTCAATCTCAATTATTCTTCCAATTTCCCCAATTTTTAGGTCAGAATTCCCTCAAATTAACCTAGATCTCCATGTTTTTTGATCTTGTTCTTTTGTAACTTTCGATTATTATCCAGATTTAGGTTTTGATTTTCGTTTTTGATTCTCAGGTTTTGTGTACAGGGAAGATCTCTTTCTTTGGAGGATTAGATCATGGTATTACTTTTAATCTTTTGAATTTAATCTGTTTGTATATTTTTACATGCATTGTTGTATTTCATATTCGCTTTGTTTTTGTTTGTTTTTGCTATGCCTTAAATTTCAAATTTTGATTAGATGCTGTGTTTATAATTGATAGTTTTTCTTCTGCTGGTTTGATTATTTAAACTTTTGTTAATTTAAATAAAATTGGATCCATATTATCTGAACAAAGTTGAATTTGAGTATTTGATCATTTGATGTGAATTGTATGCATTTGAATGTCAAATATCGGGTGTAATTTTCCAGTGTCGATTTGACTTCTTTGGTTGAATTTAGATAAAAACCAATATAATGTTGAGGAGTTTTTTTATGTATGTATTCGAGGATTTAGTGGTTTCGAGATCGTTTCGTTTGGAGATCATTGTTTGCAATTTGAATTCGCAAGTCGGAATTGTGGAAAAAAAATATTAAACAATTGATATGATTGAGTTTAAGTTGATTAAGTCATATGTTCAATTTTTCATGTTGCTAATTTGCTTGTTGTAGAATTTATTATAAACCGATTTGAAGCTCATTAATACCTTTATGGGACGATTACTTTAGGATTACATTATATCAGATTGAAGAAGACACAACTGGTAGTTATGAAATTAATGTAACTTGCAATATTTAACAATTAATCTGAAGTACGAACATAGGTTTTGGTAGTTGTATTAACTTTAATGTTATTCCCTTTTGCAATTGGACATATACTCTTAACAAGATATTACAAGTGATAGGGAGTGTTGAAAGGTTCACTTTACCCAATCCTAGGGGTGAAAGTTCGGTATTCGGTTTGGATTTTACTCCAAACCGAATCCAAACCGAATTATTTCGGTTTCAGATTTTTGAAACCGAATCCAAACCGAATTTGGATTCAATCCAATCCAATCCAAACCGAAATAATTCGGTTTTGAAAAATGAATCCAATCCAAACCGAATTTTTTTGGGCTGTCATTTTGGGCCTTAAATTTGGGCTTTTATTTGGGCCTATTGTTTTAGTCATTTTAAAGGCCTAAATTTTGTACGTTTCCTGAACAAATTTTTAAGAAAAAACTAAAGTCTTTAAGACTAATATTTGTCACATTAAGTAATAGCATAATTATTAAAAAAAAAAACATTCCAGCCATTAGAATAAAATTACAGACATAATAGAAATCTTAAAAATGAAATAACAGTCCAACAGCAGCAAACTTAATTCAATTGGCAGCAGCTTAATGAAACAATGGCAGTAGCTTAATTGGCTGGCAGCTTCAACTCTTCAACCGTTCAATCAAGCTCAACCAAGTCTTGGTTATTTTGACCACCACCAATTGTGTCAAATTTCTCAACTAACAACAGAAACAAAAAAAACAAGTTACATATGAAATATTGAAAAAAAATATCATATAATAATTGTTGTTATTAAAACATATCAAACAGAGGCTATGGGTGAACATCAATTATCACCAAACAATCAATCTATCACCAATTCGAACATCAAATATCACCAAACGATCAATCTATCACCAATTCGAAGTTTTCGAACAAAATAAAGGAAATCTAGGGACAATTGGACAAAGGAAAATTCACCAATTCGAACTATAAAACATCAAATTCACCAATTCACAAAGGAATATTACCATTTCGAACATAACAAAACATCAAATTCGCAAAATCGAAGAGAAGCAGGAAAAGAGAAGTGAAATCTGAAAAGAGAAGGTATTCTTACCTTTGACTGAGTCAGAACGTGGTGGTGACTGGTGAGCGTTGAGCGGCGGTGAGATACCGAAGTACCGGACTGGTGGTGGACGGACGGAGTGAGGTGGTGAGGGAGAGAAGAGAGAAAATCTAGGGTTTTGGTGAGGGAAAGTGAAACTGTGAAAGGGAAATGGGAAAAGAGGGGACGAAAAGATCTAGGGTTTTGGATATATATATGTCATAAAATGGGCTAGTTCGGTGTTCGGTTTTTTGTTTTTTCGAATTCCAAAACCGAATCCACACCGAAATATTTCGGTTTCTATTTTTTCAAACCGATCCAATCCGAAAACCGAAAAAAACCGAACCAAATTGCTTATTCGGTTTGGATTGGTTCGGTTTTCGGTTTTTATCCAAATTACTTTCACCCCTACCCAATCCTACTTTCTTTTTAAATTCTCTTTTATGGATGTTTAGCCAGTGTTATGGCTTTTCAACGAGTTTTGCATGCCAAACTTCTTCTTTTAAGATTAGAAAGTGGTGTGCGGATCAAAGATAGCGAGTTGTTTCGTAGACTATATCGTGGGACAGAACAACGAACAAAGATTTGTTGGTAATCGTAAGACCAAGATTGTATGTAATTCACTTTTGCTGGTTAGCAATTCATTATTAGGTCTGTGTTTATACGTTATTCATCGTTAGTAAGATATAAGATATTTGAGGTTAGCAGT